AGTCTTGAGTCATGCGGCGGCCTTCCGGGATGCCGACTGCCTCCCAGATGGATCAGTTTTGGCTAGCCTAGGGCCGACGCACTTAGGACTGGGTCTTTTTGCTGTCCACAGAAAAAGAAAGTTTTAAGGGTTTCACCCGAGCACACGCTCTGGGTGGCCCGCGGAGGCACCACGTGAGACCTGGACACGCAGCTAGAGCCCTGTCCAATGACTTGAGACTTGGGGTGTTCAAAAAAGGCTTTTGCATGGTCACTACTAGTAAGACTTAATTAGCTTGAAAACGAAACAAGGAGTGTTCTGAAAATGCAAGGTGTATGATTCCTCCTGGCCGAGAGCTAGGTTTTTTTTTGTTTTTTGTTTTGTTTGTTTCTCAAAAAGGACCAATTAGGCAGCACGAGTCGGCGATGCAGAAACTTTACCCATTGCGGTTCTTGGGGAAGAGAATCTCTTGTAGCGATGGAGGATATTGGGCAACTTGGCCCTGACCGGAGCTGGTTCGCTCCGGGCAGAGGGGTGGTGGCGGAGAGGGTCAGAGGAGGAGAAAAAGACCACGCTTTGGGATTCGGGAAGCAGACCGACGTTGCGGAGCACATTGGCACGCAGGATTCGGCCCAGAGTTACGCCACTGATCGCGGGAGATAAATATGCAGATATTGTTTTATATTCATATCCAGATGCTACAAAATCGTTGATCTCTTTAAGATGTAAACTTAGAACAGGGACTGTATCTGCTGTTTGTTCCAAACATAGTGAATGCCTTACTTTTGAATGCATTAAGTACGATGTCTTTTAATTTTTTACTTTGTTTTAGAATGTCCTGCTCGTATAGCGCACACAGCACATGCTAAGGTCCCAAGCCTTTCCAATACCAGGGGTGACGCTAGTAGTATATATGCTGGTATCTTACACCTAGTTGGTCAACAGAAAATATTAATGGAATGAATCAGACAAGTACATTAATTTGGAAGACTAGCATTGCTAAAAATTAAAGGTCTCAGTAAATTACATTTCATAAATGTTCTACTTCGATGTCCTTTTCCCCTAAATAAAACTTGCTTATACGGACTCTTGTTAACTGACGCTAATACTTTTAACTACTGTTACTTGGATGCTAGCGAATATGCAGCTTTAAAAGCTTTTTAAAAAGAACTTCGGATTTTAACAGAAGAGCGCCCTCTGCTGCCAATGGTTTATGGGCAGCGCGCCTGAAAAGTCAAAATACTTGGGAGTATGCTCATTGCAAAGCTGGCAAGGTGAACGTTAGGATATTTTTCACCAGCATCTCTTTGTAAGTCAGTTTGTAATTCTAGCCATTTTAATTATTACTGCTGATCAAGTAGGATCATTCAGTTGTGAATATTACCTTAAACATTATTCTCATTTCTATAGGAATACATACCAGTTTATTCTTTAAAACCAATTTTAAAACAGAATATAGACTTGTTTTATAGTCATTATTCTCTGCATAAACAGATACCAAAGTAAGAATAAAAATGCTGCTTTAATCATCAAAATACTTTTTCCAATAATTTTAGTGCTGTGTCAAATGAGTCATTAAAATGGACTGATTTGAACACAAGACTATTTGCAATTTATCCTGCACCAGCTTTTTGCTTCTCAGCTTGTTTCCTTCTGTCTTAATTAGTGTTTCTGATGTCCCAGGCCAAGCATAAATGCACTTATAATCGCTGCCTTTTTGATTATCACCTCTTCAGTATAGACTGTCATTTTATTGTAGTATCTGTGTATTTACTGTACTTATACAGCATTTTCCTGTTCCTTTAAGTTTTTTCAGTGTTACATTTCTTTTACTAATTCATGTTTTTGTTGTTCTTATTAATATCCTCATATGAAAACAGATTTTAAAAAGTCCCAAGTAACCGTCTAAATTGAAAACTGCACATCTTGACTGCTATTTCCATCGGTCCTCGTTTTTAAGAGCTGCTCATCTTGAGGAGGAAGGAGCTATAGTCAGAGGTGGGCTGCTGGTACAACTCTGAGTCACTAGGTCAGAGGATAACTGGTAAACCACAAATGAAGCGATAAGGGAGGTGCACGTCTCCTGCTGTAAATGCTAATATGAGCATGTCAGATGCGTTCCTCACAATAAGCACTTTACCACTCTTCATAGGAACATACAGATAATGATCACGAATTATTCTGTGGTTCTCAATTCTCTCTCAGTTGCAGAGGCAGAAATGGAAAGAGTCCATTATTATGCAGAAAAATGTATGTAGAGAAACCTCAGGCTAGAGACTGTTTTTGTGTAAGCTTGGGGTAAACAATCCAGCGCACTGACAGAAGTCAAGTGTTCCAGCTGCTCTGTGAGTCAGGCTCTGTTTTCCCAGTTATTGGTGTGGGAACCACATCTTTTTTTATTTTTTAATTAAATTTTTTTTAAAATTTTTAGCTCACATGGTCTCCTGGCCCCACACGCCACGGGTCTCCTGTGGTGCATTCTTTTTTCTTTTCTTTTCTTTTTTAAATAGACTTATAGCATGATCTACCACTGAGCTATTACCTTCCCCTCCTAACCACATCTTTTTCACATAGATGGTCATATGGTCACCACACCTCAAGCCATTTCTAAAAGTGGAAAATGAATACTGAAAATATTTTCAGACATAAATCTTAGCATGTTCTCCCAGGGCAGTCTACCCAGGCAATAGAAATAAAAGCAAAAATAAACACATGGGACCTAATTAAACTTATAAGCTTTTGCACAGCAAAGGAAACCATAAGCGAAACAAAATGACAACCTACAGAATGGGAAAAAATATTTGCAAATGATGTGACTGACAGAGGTTTAATTTCCAGAATATATAAACAGCTCATGCAACTTAATGACAAAAAAACAAACAACCCAATCCAAAAATGGGAAGAATATGAAAATGAATATATGTATGTTCATGAATGACTGAAGAATTATGCTGTACACCAGAAACTGACACATTGTAAACGAACTCTACTTCAATATAAATAAATAAATAAATAAAAGTGGAAAAACAAAAATGGGCAGAAGATGTAAACAAGCAATTCTCCAATGAAGACATACAAATGGTCACAAGAAAAAAATGCCCAATATTGCTAATTATTGGAGAAATGCAAATCAAAACTACAATGAGGTTATCATCTCACGCCAGTCAGGATGGCCATCATTAAAAAGCCCACAAATGATAATTGCTGGGGAGGGTGTGGAGAAAAGGGAGCCATTATGGAAAACAGTATAGAGAGTCCTCAAAAAACTAAAACTAGACTTACTTACCATATGATCCAGCAATCCCACTCCTGTGTATATATCCAGAGGGAATTCTTAATTCGAAAAGATCCATGCACCCCAATGTTCATAGCAGCACTATTTACAATAGCCAAGACATGGAAACAACCTAAATGTCCATTGACAGATGACTAGATAAAGAAGCTATGGTATATTTATACAATGGAATACTACTCAGTCATAAGAAAGAATAAAATAATGTCACTTGCAGCAATATGGATCGACCTGGAGCTCGTCATTCTAAGTGAAGTAAGCCAGAAAGAGAAAGAAAAATACCATATGATATCTCATACGTGGAATCTAAAAAAAGAAAAAAGAGGACACTAATGAACTTATCCTGGGACTAGGATATGAACCCAAGTCTGTACATATCTCAGCCTGGATTGTCAACCATTAGGCTATACAGCCCTGTGATTAGGTAGATATTTTCATTTTTTTTTCAGTAGGTATTTTCATTTCTGCTGTGTTTTGGAGCTGAAATTGTCACTAGAACTGGATGTTTCT